TGAAAACGCTAATTTTCGTAAAACTGGTTTTTCGGTAGATTTTTAAAACTTTTTCTAAAAACAATTATTGCCACGAGAATCAGCAGGGTCGATTATCCATACTCCATCCGTCTTTCAGGCTATCAAGGGTCACTGGTGTCAGTCCTGGGACCCGTCGGAAATCCGATACAACAGCTGAACCACAGAAAATCAAGGTCTCACTTTGCTCCCATTTTGAAGAGAACACCCCGGACTATCAGCCCATGAAAAAAATTAATATATTCCTATGCGAGTTTCGAACAACCCAGGTCAGTTTTCCAAAGATCCTCTGAAAAACCAGCTTCAGAAAATTGTCCGAAATTCGCTTTTTCTCACAGAAAAAAGTGGTCAGGTGTCTAGTCTTCAAAACTAAGAACCGTAGGTCTCTATCTAGCTTCTATCAACGGTTATTCAAAAAGTAACTGATGGCATTGGATTTTGGAATGGATAGTAGCTAATAGTAAATAATTGAGGATTCATAAATGCTTTCACGACAATGTTTAAGTGTTTCAGTGTGATGAGCGTTAGGTCAGTCATTTTCATCAGTTATGAAAACTAATTTCTTTGACTTGCATAGACCGCATTTAAATAACATCTTTTAGTGTGAATATATTTAAACTTACTAAAGTATGGTCTACATTTTCCCGCTTAATCACAAATCTTAAAATCGCTTATTTATAAAAGGAAATTTGGCCAAGGCTAAGGATCCTCCTTCTGGACGTTTTGTCAAAAACTGATTTTTTCATAAAAATGGAAATCTATTATATCTAATGAAAAAATTATTTTTTATAACAAACTTCTAGCTTGTTATACAATACCTTCACTTTTTATGAGAGGTTTAAAAGATTGATTACTATGCTGTTCTTTTTCATGAACATTTTGTGTAAGAATATCACTAAGACGAAAGACGAGTTTGACATGAACTAAGTTTCTTAATGTGCAGTTGTTGGCTAGAAATAAAAACATTAATATAGAAAATTCTGATCAAACATAAAGAGGGTAAATACAACATTGACCCTGAGACGAAATACCATTCTGTTTTGTTGTTCAGGTGAATACGATTGTATGGACTGGACCGATGAGCGACCATTTTGGCCCGGTTCTGGTGATGGTTGTCCATTTCAAACAAGTTTTTCATGTGATGAGCATATTTGTAAACGCGCTGAATTTTCATGCGGAAATGGCGAATGTAAGTCATTTGACACAAATCGTTTAAAAAGCTTTTGGTTTCCGGCGTATTCAGATTATTGTCAAAATTTACGTGAACTAAACTAAATTTGTGAAGCTAGTTCAGATTTTCAGTTATGGACAATCGATAATGGTTATTGTTTGTCATATAAAATACGATATGATGAAACGGTCGTTGATAATAAATGTAGTTTCTACGTTAAATGTGCTCTATCACGTGGTTTAAATCTAAATTGTCCGTGCCGGAACGATACCATTGATTGTATAACTAATGAAATAAAGAGTACGTGCAACGATGATAAAATATTGTATCCACATGGTGCATTATTTACGCCTTATTATCGGGTAATCTATTTACGTGAGCATAATTGGTTGGAGAAAACTCCCGATTTTCTATTATACAATGGGAGTATCAAATGTAAAGGCTATCAAATTAGCTCATTCGATAAACAACATGAAAAGAAAATTCACTCTAATACCCGATTGCTTACATTTTATTTTCATGAAAAAGACTTCTGTGAATTAAAAAGTGCAAATCGATCTTCATTAGCTCCGCATTACAATCAACATTGTTGGAATTATTCAAAAACATATAATAATCGCCCATATGCTATAGCTCATGTATGTAATGCTCAATGCATGTCAATGTATCGTGTTCGAGATGGTATCTATGATTGTATTGAAGAACATGTATCGGATGAAGATCGCGCTATTAATGGATCATGTCTTTCTATTAAACATCATCGTTTTCAATGTTCACAATCTGAAGTATCTTGTCTACTAGCCGGTGCTGTCGGTGACTCTGATGCTCATTGCACCAATCGTCAAGATGAATATGAAACATCTGCACTAAGAGATATTAAGTGTGAAAAACGCAGCGATGAAGGCTGTCAGATTCATCGTAAATATATTTCTCGTTCACCAATGGCGAATACGCTTCCAATGTATAACAATATAAGTGAAACAGTAGGAAGAAAAATTCCGTTTCAAGATTATTGCAACTCATTCTTTGATACAAAGTCGGGAACAGATGAATCTTCAATGTTCTGTGATGACTGGTTGTGTCCAAAAAATCAGTATCGGTGTTTGTCAAACCAATGCATTCCAACCGACTGGGTTTGTGATGGTAAGTAGATTTAAAATCTTAGTACGTGAATCTGAACTACTGTTATTTGAGGTGAATGGGACTGTAGTGACGCATCGGATGAACAAAAACTGATTGGTATTGACAAATTTGATGAACATAACGTTGAAACTGGTTTAAATCTCATACGTATGAAGCAGAAATGTTTTGAAATATATAAAAATCAACCATTTTCAACAATTTGTAATATTAATACTGAATTTCCATGTATGGTTGATCGTTCAAAGGGTCCACTTAATTTTACAATAAATCGTCCTTGTATTGATCTAAATCGAATTGGCGACGGTATTTCTGATTGCATTGGTAGTTATGATGAAAGAAATAATTTAGTATGTGAAATTTACGGTATGTTGGGGTACCATTTTCATTGTTCAAATTCTGCGTCTTGCATTGAATATCTTCAGTTATGTAAGTTTTTATGTCCAGACGAACATGCCCCTATCTGTTTTCATAAGGAAAGAAAGTATAAAAATGGTACAATAAGTGAGTGTAATAATGATAACGATGTAATGTGTTTGAATGATAAATGTCTAAAAAATGCGCGATGTAATAAGGTGTTGGACTATCCAGATGGTGAAGATGAATACTGGTGCAATCCTAATGTTGCTGAAGATCCCAGAGTTTATAGAGAACAAAAACGACGTCTTCGATCTGCAAGGACAACAAATAAACTACCTTACTATCCAATTAATGATATTATTAAGAATAAATGTTCAAATACTAAATTAGTCAGGCAAAAAAGTGACTATTCTAAACTTAACATGATAAATATCAAAGTGGAACAGATAAAATATAAAACCGCTTATGAAATGGTAAATAGTTTATTTCCGGATAGTGTCAAGGAAGAAACACATTATGTACCATTTATATGTAATCGTGGTGTTACTGTTCGTCAAAAGCAGCCGGATGATCAATTAGAAGTGACTTCTTGTTTTTGTCCGCCTAGTTTCTATGGTGAGAGATGTGAATACTTCAGTGATCATATAACGATAATAACACATCTCGATTTATCTAATTGGCATATAAGCAATAATAAAAATGTTGTCATTAAAGTATTAGCATTATTTTTATTTAATAATACAATAATTGATTATTACGATTTTCATGTTCAAACAATATCGTATAAAAAAACGATTTCATTAAACAGCGATTTTATTTTCTTTATCCACGAACAGATGAGTTTATTAATTTAAAAAAAAATTATCGAAATGGCACTCAACTATACAGTGTACGTTTTGAGGCATATGAATTACATTTAAATTTGGCTATCAGTATTATTGGCGTTTGGATATATCCAATTTATTTTGATTTTTTACCGGCATTTCGTTTATCTAAAGTATTAAAATTAACGGATATCTCTACTAATGATATTGTTTGTTCTACAAATCCATGTGGAAAAACTGGCAAGTGTCAATCAGTTATAAATAGCAACACATCTTCCGTTTGTTTATGCTGCAGAAAAAAATGTTAGAGACTTACGAGGAAAGGTGCCCAACTGTCAACTCGCTTTTGAGCTCTAAGCTAGTGGACAATAGGTAATCATACATGCTGAATCCGACTATGACAAGCATTTGGACTGCTAGGCCTCCGGAGACCCGGTTTTTGAAAAATCCAGTTTTCTAGGTCAAAAACTTTTTTTTTCCAAAAAATTTTCTGATCTGTCCAGATTGTAGAGCATATCAAGAAACCTATTAAAAACATATTTTTAAATTTTTGTAAGGGCTTTGAAATGTTTTCCGAGGGCAAAACTTCGCTTACGGGAAAACATTGCATTTGTTGAGTTCTTCACCCTCTTGACTGAAAGTCGCTTTTCTTCCCGCTTCTCGCACTCCTTCTGTTTGCTCCGTCTCCCTCTTACCCCCTTTTCTGCATTTAGAAACTTTTTTAATTTCTTGTGTGCTTTTGCGCTTTTATACACTTTTTGTTTTTTGCATATTCTTTATTTTAAAAAAGTATGCCTTCTTCCGTATTTTGCAAACAACCGAGCATCTCGAAAATCATCAGTTACGAGCCACGTACGAAGAATGTGTAGAAACGAAATGTGGCGAAAGTATGTTTATCCACTGCTCTATTTGCTCCAAAAAACTCTGTTTCGGTCACTTCTTCGTCTCATACCACTTCCATGATTCAACGATCCATGGTAGCAACTGATGATTTGGGAGACGGAGCAAACAGGAGGAGTGCGAGAAGCGGGAAGAAAAGCGACTTTCAGTCAAGAGGGTGAAGAACTCAACAAATGCAATGTTTTCCCGTAAGCGAAGTTTTACCCTCGGAAAACATTTCAAAGCCCTTACAAAAATTTAAAAATATGTTTTTAATAGGTTTCTTGATATACTCTACAATCTGGACAGATCAGAAAATTTTTTGGAAAAAAAAAGTTTTTGACCTAGAAAACTGGTTTTTTCAAAAACCGGGTCTCCGGAGGCCTAGCAGTCCAAATGCTTGTCATAGTCGGATTCAGCATGTTTGATTACCTATTGTCCACTACCTTAGAGCTCAAAAGCGAGTTGACAGTTGGGGACCTTTCCTCGTAAGTCTCTAACATTTTTTTCTGCAGCATAAACAAACGGAAGATGTGTTGCTATTTATAACTGATTGACACTTNCCTCGTAAGTCTCTAACATTTTTTTCTTTATACTAGATCTGGGTGTGAACCAGGGTATTTTCTAACTGTTCTCTCAAAAAATTCCACACATAATATTTTGAGATATTGATAATATGCACTTCGACTAGCAGCACTAGGAAAGTCCTTGGATTTCGATCTTTCTCAGATAATTTTTCTAGTGATATTATCTGACTCTTCTTTTTCTCAAAACAGGATCATCCTGCCGCACATAGAATCTATGAAAAACATTTAAAAATGAGTAGCTTTTCATGTTTAGCATGAATCCAAGCAACGTTCATGTATAATACAGTGGTTTTTTTTACTAGGCACGTGGACATGTGCCATAAAAGTGATACGAAAGCGTCTAAATACCATTTTTATATGTTTTCAAATGTCCTCTTTCTAATGATGTGATTCACAACTTC